AATGCTCAAATCTAACTTCAAAAGGGGAAGTTATGGTTTTTCTAATATTTCAGCGTTACAATTTAGCGTAGAAATCGAATATTAGATCGGTTGATCGTTAGCCAAAAGGATCTAAACAAGAATTCAAGATCTCTTGATAAGGAATATGTCGATATAAAGACAGTCGAGAGCGGACGTCATACGAGAGAGTTATAAATTTTTAACGAAATTTAACAATTTAAACCTATTAAAAATATAACTTTTATTATAAAGTCAAAATTACCCACGGAGTCTAAATGAAAGTTGTAGATCTCATCGATAGATATACGTGGATATAAAACTCGTCAATAAGAGAGCTCATGCAGAGAAGATATGGAGTTTTTAAGAAAACATAAATTTTCGCGCGCACAGATAAGATGTGCGACGCGCACTGGCATACCACAGAGAATGTGACATGTGGCACCAGTGAATGATCAACACGTCACCCTGGCCAATAGCATGCACGACACACGAAGGATCATTATAAGTCAATAAAGGTAACCATGGGAGGATAGAGTACTTAGAATGAACACACAATTCATTAACACCTATAGGCAATGAGCATGTCAGTGTTCCAAAAAACTATCTAGAATAGTCAATGATCATCATATATATTATGCTAGATGACTAGTTTCATCAGTACAATAGTACTATAATGGTCATGGCCTCACGCCATTAGTTTATCTTTCACAACCCTTCTCTACCCAATATAATTTAAGTAAGATATTTAAAATAGATCAATACTTTATCAATATATGATTCAGGTACACATAAAACCAGTCAAGTTACCTTATCTAGCATAAATATCATAATAAACACATGTATCAATTAAGTATTTAAATATTTTGTATCTATGTGTAAGATGAAAGTAATTATACACTCACTTGATTGTAGGTGAAAGACTTGTGGTTAAGTCTATGCTTTGTTTATCACTTTAGTTATCCATTTAAAAGACCCATATATGAATATTACTAAGTTTCAATTATCGTTTGTATTATTTTTGACTATAATAATAGTAATTTAAATTCATCAATAATTACAAAGGAATACTGAGTTTTATCAGATTAGGGATGACCAAGTAAGATCATTCTACAGGTAGGATCCGTCTGCTAAAAAGATGTATAGTTTGGAAATCCACTATAAACACCCCACTAATCTAGTCTAGACATCACTCTCATAAGTAGATCGATCAATATAACGACCGATACTACTCATAAATCTTATTCATAAGTTCATAATAACAAATATGAACTAAATATAAGTTATACTTAAAGCATAGTAAGTATAACTCAACTTACAGGTTTTCTAGCGAAAAATCGAAATCTTCTTGGGTAGAACTTTGATACCGAAAGCTCTTTTTATTGGACCTTTCGTTGCTCCAAAGCTTCGCTACTAATACTAGAAAACTCCTAAATTCGGGCCTCGGAATGCAAGAAAAGTTTTGGGAGAGTTTGGGAAGAAAATTGAGGAAAATAAGCAAGAAAATCAAGTTATATATATATATATATATATATATATATATATATATATATATATATATATATATATATATATATATATAGGAAAATCTGAAGGGTACGCTGCGCCTGGTGATGTGGCAGCCCCATATTACGCCACCTGTCGAGGTATACTAAATTTTATTAAGACTTTGATGGCTAATTCAAATTTATTTTTAATTTTATAACATATAAGGAGTACATTGTAAAAAAAAAAAAAAAAAAAAAAAAAAAAAAAAAAAAAAAAAAAACTTTGCAAAATGCATAACTTTTTAATACGTTATGTGAACAACCGATCATAAAGGTAAATTGTGAACAGTTTTAATAGCTTAGTGACAAATAGATAATGAAAAAAGTTTAGTGATTAAATGTAAACAAAATCGAAAGTTCGTTTGCCTCTAAAAAAATCCAATAACTAAAATAGTTATTTAGATATGAATTGTTTTTTTTCTAAAACCTTTTAAAATTATGAATGATTTTTTTGAAAGAAAAAAAATAACACGGTTTTAATTGTTGAATATATAGCTATTTTTTCTTAATTTTTTTTTTTTTGTAAAGGTAATATGGATAGGGTGGTTTGAGCACAATACTTCATAAAACATGTTAACGGTTTTACTTAACTCTACATGTCTAGTTAAATAATCATAAATTTCAATAATTATTCAAACTTTTTAAGAAAATATAATCTCAAATATAAATCAATTGTCCAGGTAAATTAAAAATGTCTAAATTCTAAACAACTTGACTTTCATTTTCGATATCTTTTTTAATAGTAAATATACTAATATGATGTATGTTAATACATTGAGTATAACAATATATATATATATATATATATATATATATATATATATATATATATATATATATATATAAGGTATCAATGTACGTATGTATTTTTTTATAAAAAATGTATATGGTTTAATGTATGTCAATTTATATATTGCATAATTTTACAACACAAAATTCATACATATAATATTAGGATAATTTTTATACATATAATATTGCATAGTTTTATAACATAAAACTTATACATATATTGTTGGTTTCGTTTTTCGTTTTTTATACCTTTTTCGGGGGGTTTTTTTCCATAGATTTCTTAATGAACAAATGTTGTTAAAATTTAACAAAAAAAGATAATTTGCTAAACCATAATACAAGAGGAAAATTTGTTCACATTTAGTTATTGAACTTTTTTGAGAGGAAAACAAATTTTAAACTTTGTTCACATTTAGACACTAAACTTTTTTTCATTATCTATTTGTCACTAAACTATTGAAACTGTTCATATTTTACCCTTATGACCGGTTGTTACCGGTCAAAAGGGTAAAATATGAACAATTTCAGTAGTTTATTGGCAAATAAAGAATGAAAAAAAAAAAGTTTAATGATTAAATATGAACAAAATCAAAAGTTTATTACCCTTTCAAATCATTATCGCCCTTGGAAATGCCTATCAAAATCTTTCCAAATAGTGTCACTAAAAAAGGGATTTCCACGGAAATGCCTTGGAATTATTTTCCTCGGAAATGCTGCTATGGAATTATGTTCCATCAGAAAAGTCTCTCGGAACCCAAGCAAAATGACATGTATGAGAAAAGTAAGGGAACTTTCGACCATAAGTACTTTGTTTCAAATGTTGCTGAATAAGTTTCAGAAATCCCTCCGAAAAAGTTCCTAGGACATATTTTCGGATGTATTTTTTTGTCGGAGAGAGTTCATTTCTAGTAGTGGATCATATATGCTCTTCTATGAATGATTATTTTTTGAGTAAATTCGGCAAATGACCAAAATGTAGGATGAGTTTAAAGAAAATGACCACAAAAATGAAGATTTCAGAAAATGACCACATGTTCCGCAGAGGGGTTTCTGTGGAACCATAAACACCTCTGCGGATCTTGGTTTATTTCATTTTTTTTTCGTTTTCTATTTTTTTTTCGTTTATTAATATATTTTTTAATCACATAAGTTATTATGTGATTATTATGTAAAGTTTTTTTTCGTTTTTTGTTTTTCTTATTTAATTACCCGTTTATAAAGCTGTGTGTTTAATAAAAATTATACAAATATTCTATGTTTTTAATGAAACTACACACACTGGTATTCTAAATAATAAACATACTTTAAGTAGGTTATAAAAGATACTTCAGAAAACATAAACATACAACCTTCATAATATACATAGTTTGACATAAACTTCATTAAAGTCTCTGCGGATCCTCTACAGCTCTATGGAATCTTTGTTTTTTTATTATTTTTTTTTTTCGTTTTTTTGTGTTCATTTTCATTTATTAATATTAATTTTTTTAAATACACTAATACCTTATGTGATTATTATATAAAAAATTTGACAAAAAAAAGTTAAAAGTAATGAAATACTTTATATAATACGTTTACTAGTGATGTATGTTTTCCATGTATTTTTACTGTTTTGTATTTACAAATCACTCTTCACAAACACAATGAAAAAATAATTTCTACTTGTAATTGAAACTCACAAACTCACAGAAACCCATTAAAATACGTCCATAACTTTTATAACTAATGCGTAGAGGTGTACACAGATCCGCAGAGGTGTACACTGATCCGCAAATGTGTATAATGATCTACAGAGGTGTACACTGATCCGCAAAGATGTATACTGATGCTCAGAGGTGTACACTGATCCGCAAATGTGTACATTGATCCGCAGAGATGTACACTGATCCCTGTACGGAACCTGTGGTTATTTTCTGAAATGTTCATTTTTGTGGTCATTTTTTTCAAACTCACTCTACATTTTGGTCATTTGCCGAATTTTCTCTTATTTTTTTTCCAAATTTATTGTATACACCTTGCCACGTACGAAATTTAATTATTATTGCAGGTAAAGAAATGAACGAAACAATATTTTTATGATAGTTAATCCGAACCAAACTGGTCATTTTACAGAATTTTCGGTGTTTTGTTATGATATTAACTTTGTTCCATATTTTTTATAAGAGAAATTAAATAGTCTCCTACTTTTTGTTTCTAATATCCTTCTATCTATTTTAGATGGTGACAATTGTCATTAAATTTGATTGAGATTTTGAATTTGTACACTTATTATCATCTTAAATAGGTAGGAAGAAAAGTAGGAACAAAACGTAGAATGATATTTAATTTCCCTTTTTATAATGGATATATATCTTAGGTACATGTTTTGCATATAATGGAGACGAGTATCTGGAGTGTATAAATTGAAGATGGCTAAAAGGCCCTAATCCGATACTATATATACACAAGAATCTTACGTGACACAAGTGAATATTGTTCATTCATTGCATTTACTTTACACACACCACACACGTCGCACTAGGATATATAATTCTCTTACGTTTGATCAATTTAAATTAATGAACATCAAAACTAAAGTCACATACCAAAAAGTGATCATGATTGTAACAAAACTCAAAACACAGTAAGTACATAATCAAACTCTTAATACGCAAGAAAGTTCTATCAACCATCAGAAGAATTTGGCAACGACCCATTAACCAATTTGTTAGTAACACCATACTCCGGCGATGGTGGTTGTGTATTATGATCCTTAAACAACCCACACTCCACCACAAAATCAACAACCTCCGGTTTCTGAGCATTCATTTCATCATTCTGAATCCCTCTCAAAATCTCCACCACCTCCTTCATCGTCGGCCTCATATCCGCCTCCGGTTGCAGACACCGGAAACCCAACTCCGCCACCAACGTAACCATCCGCCTCACCACCCCATCACTCTCAAACCCAATCCTCTCATCCACCAACTCCCCCAACATATGATTCTGAATTTTATTAACCCCCATTGCAGCCAAGTTTATATCAAGCCTATCTCTATTAGTATCAACAGCTTGTAAAGAAGATATGAGCTCGATCAAAACCACCCCGAAACTAAAAACATCACTCTTGTCAGTTAACTGGTAACATTGGTAGTATTCGGGGTCCACATAGCCAGGTGTCCCTTGTGGGGCCGTTGAGACATGTGTCACGTTGTTTGGGAACAATCTTGATAAACCAAAATCAGCAACTTTGACTTTGAAAGTTTTGTCTAAGAGAATGTTGTTGGTTTTCACATCGCGATGTATGATGTCGGATTCGTGGAGGTAGGCTAGTGCTTCGGCTGTTTCTATGGCGATGTTGAGGCGTACAGACCATGGAAACATGTTTGAATTTGAGTTTGATAGTTTGCCATGAAGATGATCGCCTACTGTGCCATTTGGAACGTATTCGTATACGAGTAGTAGTTCGCGGCTTCGTTTTGATGTGCATCCGTATAGTTTTACGAGGTTTTTGTGTTGTAGTTTTGTCAAGATTTCAATTTCGTTCATGAATTGATGTACGCGTTTGAAATTGTTTTCGTATAGACGTTTCACTGCTACTTCTCGCCCATCGAGAAGCTTACCTAGAGAATTTCAAGATTTGTACTGTTAGATACATGGAGTCTATGATTTTATCTAGCTTTGATACCATGTTAGATATGTGGAATTTTTTATTTTCTCTCGAAATGAGAGGTGGGACTATAACATACATATCTAGAGTCAAATAGGACTGTGTCTTGCTGTCTTGTTGATGTGAGACTCTGACGTACATATATAGATATTTGAAATTCTTGATTTTCACATATAATATGATTTTAGCTCTGATGCCATGTTAGATATGTGAAATTCTTGGTTTTCTCTCGAAAATAGAGGTGGGACTCTGACATGGACTGTGTCTAGTTGATTTGAGACTCTAACGTACATACATATATATATATATATATATTATATATATATATATATATATATATATATATATATATATGTGTGTGAAATTCTTGATTTCACATATCTGTTGATTTTAGCTTTGATACCATGTTAGATATGTGATATTCTTGATTTTCTCTCGAAAAGAGAGCTGGGACTCTGACATACATATATAGAGACAGATGGGACTGTGTCTAGCTGATGTGAGACTCTATGTTTACAGTATTTAAGGATTATAGTATTTTACCATGATAAACAGTTCCATAACCACCATCACCGAGTTCTCTTGAATCATTGAAGTTATCGGTAGCTAGTTCTAGTTCTTCATAGGTAAAAACTTGAGCTCCAAAATAGTAGCAATTTGTGAAGTCTTTAGTTGTTGGTGAAGGATATGAAGGGATGCTAGAACTGAAATTAGATTGGGTATAACTCTCGGTTTTTAAGGATGATGCTTCTTTTCTATTACGCCTTTTCCTCCTTTGTTTACAAACAAAGATTCCCAATGCAACACCACAAACAACAAGAATCGATCCAAGGGTTGAAAGGACTAGAATTTAAAGAAAAAAACAGCAAAATTTGGTTACTTAAAATGATGATTAGGAAAGAAATTTAAGTCTATTTAATGATAGAATAGAATCCATACTTATAGTCACAGGCCCTTTCCTTGAATTCCCTACAAATAAACAGAATTTCAAGAAAATATTAGCTTCCAAATCATCCTATCAAAATAATTACTTAAAAGATAACACCCATAAAAGATTGAAATATCCCACTTGGGAAATATTACGAATATGACTATAACTATAAGCATGTATTGAAATTGTTGGGTTTGAGTGATATAATATGAGAAGGCATTATGTCGAACACCTGGTGGGATACATATACTACTGTTGCAAATACAAATAGGTTGGCTTGTAGCAACGTTGAATCCACATTGCCCTTGCAACCTACCACACTCTAAACACTTCTCATCAAACGGATTACTGTAGGTAACCTGAAAACCCATAGTCAAAGCTTCTGCAAGAGTCAACATACTTTGATTGAGATCATCAGCAACAGTTCTTAACAACGGAGTCCTCACACCCTTAAAACAGTGTATCATCTTTAATATCGGTTCAATAGGAACATTCCCGATTAAAAAGTACGAATCTGTAAGATCCACACCACCTACGTCACAAAAAAACCGGTGTTGTAGTTGGATAGGCATGAGCGACGAACTACATCCAAAGAAAATGGTGAGATCAACATTCTCAACGCCACCAGCATCAAAGTAATTCGAATCGAGAGTTGAATTAAGAAAGGTGGTAGGACATGGATTGTTCCATAAGTCCGATCTGGCTAGTACGAGGGTTTTTGCGGTCAAGTTAGCTTCGAGAACCCGGTAAGTAACTGGTTCGGAGATTAACTCAGGGTACTCGTTTGTAGTACAGGTAAGTCGGAATTCAGGTGGACCACAGTGATCGGGTCGATCACCGCCGGTGAAAGGGTAGCTGAGGTTGTGGATGTTGCCACAAGAGAAAGTTCCGTCGCAACCTGGGAAGGAGGGGAAGGTGGGTTCTGTAAGAGATACGGCGAGGTGGCCGGAGTAGAGGAGGAGGAGGAGGAAGGTGGCGGAGGAGAGATATGGCGGAGGCATTTTGGGAGAGATTGTAATAGTGAAGCGCCATTTTAATCGGCCAAAAAGTGGCACAAAGGTTTTGAAATTAACGGGAAAAATCCGAAACTTGAGTAGTTTGATTCGGGGCCCCGAAATTAATATACGATTTTTCAGTCAGTTATTGTTGATTTTATCTTCCATGTGTTTTATTTTAATCACAAAACGAAGATGTCATCCATAAAGTTATAAGAAAACCGAAATAAAATGAATAAAAAGAAGAAAAAAAACCATGTGGTTCTTCAAAAGTATACATTAAATAAATTACAAAAAGTAGAGTAAGTAATGGTGGGCAAAAAAATTAATCTCTTAAAAATTAATATACAACTGGTCAAATTACATAGAAATCATAGTAGTTTGGATTTTTTTTTTTTTTTTTTTTTTTTTTTTTTTTTTTTGAAGTAAAGAAAAAAAAAATCCTTTTTTAAATAAAAAAAAGGCCATTGGAATCTATCATACTCCTATAGTGGATGTTCAAACAAGAACACTTACTTGGCATCCAAACTTATTGGCGAGTTTATGTTATATTGGTGGGTCACTTGACCCACCTTGTTTATATTTTTGTATAATGAAATTAAAAATTGTGATCTATCTAAAAAATGCAAATGAACCATCTTACTATTTTGGCCTTATTATTTTGGAAAAAAAAATGTATAAACTAGATTTTTGAAGTCCATAATCTATATTTTAATAGCCTAATATATTTTAATATATAATCCAATAATCTTAGTCTAATACAAACTACAATAGAAAAAAAAAAAAAAAAAAAATTAAGTCACAAATCAATCGTTTCACAGCATGTTAACCTTCAACCTTCAATTTTTCATTATCGCCGATCAAATTTGCGACCGCCGGTAAATATCAATAGAATACATTAGGTCAAATCACTCAAATGAATTGTTTGAGTATAAATACTAGTTGTTTTGACCTAAAATGGAAAATATCAAACTCTAAAACAAATCTTACTGTGATGAAATATAAAGGCAAATATGATATATGAATTATCTATGACCATTCACTCATTGTTTGGTTTTAGTGATCATGTTATATGTGTTTTAATGAATAATTATAGCCTAAACTTAATATTGTAAATAGGTTGGGTAAAATGGTTGAAATCCATTGATACGTTGGATAAGGGTATGAGTTTAATCATTCAAAACCCTACGGGTTAGGGGTCAAGTTTGGATCATTATTTGAAAATTGTTTAACGGGTTTGAATCAAAGCCGATCCGCTCCAAATCAGTTCCATTCTGAGGCCTAATTGGTATAAAGTACAATGCAATAAAATTAAAACAAGATAAAAGTTGTGTAAATTACGCGAGAAATTCTTTAATTGAGAAGTCTTTCATTATTTATTAGTCTACCATGGACCAACAACTATCATTTGAATAATGCAACATGGGAAGAACCACAATTATATATATTTTGCAGGCTTTTTAATCTAATATCCACTTTATCAATATATAATTTATGCAAGGTTCATCTCAGTTAATTTCATTATAAAATGCTATTTCTAATTTTCTATATTAAAATAATGAAGCGTTAGTTGAGTAAGTATATTAACAACTAAAAAGCTTATGAGAAACCACGTCAAGATAAACATGTATAAGTTATAACGTGAACTCTAATTCTTATTTCTTAAGTCATAATAAACATATACTTTTGCACGTCAATTGGTCAAATTAATTACCGTAAATTCTAATCCACCATGCTTAAATTTGAATCGAACTCTCCTTCTAAACAAAACTTAGGTTTCTTACCATTACCATACTTTGGCTAGAGGTGTACCCAAAAAGACCAAAGCTTACAAACTTTTTCATACTTTAGTGTCCAGTTAACAGACCTAATTTTTGTATTCGAAATGATCAGGCCAAAAACCAATCAGGGTTTTTTCTAGATCGGACTGGCCAAAATCTTTTGGCCAGTCTTGCATAGTCCATGTGGACCTCTAATTTGTCAATAACCTATTGCGAAATATAATTCATTTTGATAAAAACAAAATAAAATTTTGTTTCTTACTTGATGACGGTGATGACTCGTCTCGAGTTTTGTTAACTCCGTCACAACTATCTGCCAAAAAAACCTGATCCGGACAGCTACAGGCGGTCAGGCGTGTACTATTATCATACACGCATTGTCCGCCAGACTGGTTGCACCCGGTGCAAACCTCATCATCCACCTTCCACCTAACCTCAAACCCGTTTCCCACAACCCGACCCGACGCATTCGGT